GCAATATGGTTCTAGATCATGTTGGAAAGTGTGGATCCAAGGATATTTGATGTCAACTCATTTCTCCAACCTTTTCAATAGAAAATCTTGTAGTTATTTTAAAGCATCAAGAGGCATTCAATAAGGAGACCCTTTGTCCCTATACTTCTATACTGTGGTAGCTGAAAGTTTTAGTATTATCCTGAATTTTGTGGTGAGTAGAGGCTTCATTTATGGATTTAATATTGAACAATCTTTCATTTACAGTATGCAGATGATACTATTATCTTTTGTAACCACGAAGGAACAACAAGTAAGGAATTTGTGGGTGCTTTTAAAGTATATGAAATAGCAACGGGTCTCAAAGTCAATTTGAAAAAAACCAATTTGATTGGGACTGGACGTTCATAGAACTTGGTTGCATCTTTGGCATAAATTCTTGGATGTGGGGTTGGTAAGTTACCTTGCAAATATTTAGGTATTCCTTTGTTTGGAGGAAATCAATTAGTAGCAATATGATATCCTCTTTTTAAGAGATTTAATAAGGAACTGGATCTATGGAAGTATAAATTGTTGCCGTTTGGAGGAAGACTTTAGAAAACATTTTGAGACCTTTTTTATGAGGCAATGTGGGAATGGAAAAAAAATTGAAACTTGTGAATTGGGAAAAAGTATGCACTTTCAAGAGAGATGTGGATCTAAGATTTAAAATGCTCGAATTGATGAACACCAGCCTATTGACTAAGTAGCGGTGGCGTTTCCAAAATCAACATGATGGTTTATAGGGAAAAGTGTTAAAAGAAAAATATGGAGTAGATGTATTGATTGACCTCATTAAAAGTTCAAGATCTAAGATTGGTTTTTCAAGTATTTGGAATTTTATTGATGCATGCCGATTATTATACCTCATTATCGTAAAGTAGATGGAAAGGGAGATCAAACCTTGTTATGGTTTGATAAGTGGTTGGGAAACTTTGCTCTTCGAGATTCTTTCCTGGAGGTCTTCTCCAAAGTTGACAATCCTTTGGCCTCAATGAAAAATCTTTAAGGGGCTGATTTTACTAACTCGTCTTGAAATATTATTTATAGGTATAAGAGGGTTTCAGACTCTTTCTTTCATGAATCCCAATTACTTATAAATCTGTTGCATAATTTTTTCTATGTTCCTAATAAAGATAATCGATTGGTGTGGGAACTCGTGACTTCGAGGGATTTTTCAATTAAGTTTGTCTGTCAACTGCTGTATGAGGAGACTCACAGAGTGACCGTTCATAGTTTTGTAAAAGTATGAAATTTGTAGGTGCCGTTGAAGATTCAATTATTTTTATGGGTAGCTTTTCAAAAAAAATTGTCTACTTTGGATAACCTTAGTAAGAGAGGTGTTTATACTCGAAAATACAATCAACGAACTCGGTCCCTCACCTTGGTTTCAGGTGCAAACAAATCAAAAGAGGGTGATAGAGAGAGGGTCCCGTCAAATTACGTTTCGGGCTAGAGTCGGGCTACAAGGTCTTCTTTCGTTCGGATCAAAGTGTGGCTTGAAGGGTATAAGGGTTCTTGCTTTAGGTCGGGTATGGTGCGGGTTAGGTCTTCGGTCTGACAAAGTTTTCGTGCTTAAATGCCAAAATTCTGATCTTGGACTCGAAGTCAAGTGCCTTATTTTATGCCAAAATCCCAACATTGGACAGAGCCAAAGAGGTCCTAAGCCAACCTCGGCTTTGATCCAATTAGGGTAGACTGGGTCGGGCTAAATACAACTCAAAAAAAAAAAAAATGTTAAAAGGTTCGGGTCAAACCTAACTGGCCCTATTGTAGACCTAGCCCAAGTCCGATCCAGCCCAGCCCTAGCCCGGCCCTCGGGCCACATTTTGTGGCCCATGCCCTTGTTTTCTACGGCCAAGCAGATTGGTCGGGCGGGGCCAACAAACCCATTGCTAGCCTTATTCTCTATCATCGAATTTTCATTTATGAGTTTGAAATTTTACTCCCTTTGGAGATTGTATTACATTCCTTAGGACGGAAGGCATACTTGGGAGATTTTTTATTGATATGAAATTTTGGGATGAAAAACTATATTATCTTAAAAAAGCGTAGGATTTTGAGTTCTAAAACTTGCATCTCACCGTATAAAACGTATGATTTGGTATTTTTTTTTTTTTTTTTTTAAGTTTTCTATTTATTGAAGTTAGTCTATGAATAGAAGAGGCTAAATTGGCGAAATGTGGAATCCTAAAGATATTTCTAGATTGGGTTTTACCTTAGGGAGTAATTGAACAGTATTGCGCTGCAGGGTTCCATATTTTGGCTTTTTATTTTTGCTTTTCAATGGAGCAATATAGAAAGAAATTTGAGATAAAATAGCTCCATTTTATATGAATTAAACTTGTGACGAGGATGGCTCAATCAAGGCCCCTATTTTTCAATGAAATGGGGTTCAATGGCCCAAAAATCTCGCTAAAATGATTGATAAATTGTCTATCAATTTAGAAGAAAATAAGATGGTTTGTCCAAACTGGTCCGAGAAGAGGGAGAACAAGCTAGTGTTTGAAAATAGATTGGATACGAACTAGTGGGTTTAGTTCAGTCAAAACGACCACTAATCAAACTGATTAGATCAAATTCTCAAAAATAAAGAAAAAACAAAGGACGTGTATACGATGAAACAATTTTCTTTTGATATAAAGATGTGACAATTATTATTGACTATTAGATGTAAAATATGATGGTTAGAGATGTGTCATTGATTTGACACAAAGTCCAAAATAGAATTTTTCAAGAGTAATGATACTATGAGATCCTCCTACCTATGTTAGTAGGACTCCCAAGGATCACTATTAAATTGACACAGATTTCTATAAAAATTATCAATAAACCCATTCACTCAAGTTCCACAGCCATGTCATAGCTTTTCTAGAGATTTTTGTCTATTTAATGGTGATCCTTTTAGATCCTATTCACATGGGTGTGGGAGGGTTTCATAGTGCATTACTATATTTTTCAAATGTTGTTACGCACTTCAATCTATTGGATTTTACATCCAATAATTAAAAATGATTATAACATCCTTGTGCTAAAAATAAATAGTGATATAGTATGCAATCCCAAAAATAAATGAATAGTTTAAAATATAGAATACATTAAAAAAACTCATCTAATTTTGATTAATTAATTTGACAGGTCAAATCCAGTCAGTCCGACTGATCAAAATCGGTCAAATATTAACTTTAAATAATTTTAAGTTAAATCTATTTTTTGCTTTGGATTGGATCTTGGCACTAATTAGGATTTGGCTCATCTAGACTAGGTGCTCCCTCAAGAACATAGTTTATTTCTTCTCCCTCGGTTAAAAGACCTATTTGAGACGATTTTTCAATCTGAAATTTTGGGAACTCCTTGAAAATTAGTAGATGACTAGTCCCAAAAGAAAACAAAAATTGAAATTTAAGTTTTCTAATATTTAAGTCTCACCATTTAAAAATTGGATGGTCTTTCTATTCAATGTTGAGGCATTTTTTTTTATTTTCAAGTACATGGTGGGTACAATTAGGGTTTTTTTTTTTATTGAGGTTAATCCATGAGTTGAAGATGTCACATTCCAAAAAAAAAAAGAAAAAAAAAAAATAAGGGTCTTCAAACTAGTTCTATAAATGAACATTCTACTCCAAGCGGTGTAGAATATGTTTTGGCAAACATACGAGCAAGATCTTTTTATTGAAAAATTTGGGGGAGCGAGTATTCATCAAACAAAAATAAGCAAAGGGTAACAAATGGAGATGAGAGAGAGAGAAGAGGGACAAATGGAGATGAGAGAGAGAGTAGAGAGAAATGGAGAGAGAAAGACAGGGGAAAAATGGGGGAGAGAGAGAGGCAGTAATAAGAAGAATGTAAACAGGCGCAAAAAACCTTAAGAAGAGAGTGCCTGCGAGTAAAGTGGATAAGCTCCCTGCCTCTAATGGCAGCAGCTCAACTCTCTCACCCCACGCATCTCTCTAACCACCTCCATTCAAAGTTGCAAAACACTAAGTACCCATCTCTCTCTCTATGGTTTTTCCTTCATGAAAATTTGATATCTTCTTCTCTCCTACTTGGGTTCTCTGTTCATGAAAAATTGATATCCTTATTGTAAACTATTTTAAGTTTTTTGGCTATCTCCTTCTCTCCTACTCGGGTTCTCTGTTCATGAAATATTGATATCCTTATTGTAAACTATTTTAAGTTTTTTGGCTCTCTCTCTCTCTCTCTCTCTCTCTCTCTCTCT